CTCCTGGTGTGAATCACGGGGATCACATACGAAGTTGGGGATCAAACCGAGGTTGACTGCATGCAAGGCAAGTGCCCTACCTGCTATACTATCTCTCCAGCCCCAAAGGAAAAATTCTTTTGAAAAGAACACTTGCAACCTGCTTGCTGTAGACTGTTAAAGACTTACTGCAGAAAGGGTTTGGAGGCCAGAGCCCAGTTAAACTCACTAGCATGGCTCAATGACCATTTAATTAGAATAATTTATTTTTTTTCTCCTACATTTCAGACTTTAGTTTACTAAGAAATGCCTGTTCATTGTTCTTGTGCTAAAGCAAACAGTTTGAAATGAAAGGGAGGAGGAGGAGGAAATTTGTGGACGAGAAACCAAAGGATTCAGCAAACAGTGACACCTTTATCCAAGCAATCCAGCGAGAACAATAACCCGGTTTTACTCTGACTTTCTGTTGCAAGAGGAGTATGTGCTAAAGATAGACTTTGGAGCCCATTTAGTGTAATGTTTCCAGCCTGTCACTGCGGGCATAACCCAGCTCTCAGTGACACTTTGCCTTGCAGTTACTCCGGGCTTAGTGTGTGAAATGTCTTTATTCACCATGGCTCGCCCTTGCTTCTACCTCATTCTGCAGACAATAAACTCAGTTTTTAATGAACAAAAGCCTAGTTTTATAGACCAAGAATGCTTGCCGCTTGTCGAGAGAAACATTTCCTAGATTTCCCCAAGAATGAAGAGCCAATGGAATCTGATGAGCTTCGTGGATTTCGGAAATTTGATGAGAGTGGAAAAAAGAAAAGGGGGCGGGGGTCATCTGGCGTAAATGACACTGCCGACCAGCGCTGGGCTCTGCATCATATTCCATCAGATTCACTGCTGCTCGTTAGCCTATTTTACACATTTCTGTGACATAAGTTTCATGGTAGGAAAAAGAGGCACTGTTTTAAATTAGGCTCAGATGGTGACGTCAACTGGAAGTACTAATCATTACCAGTCTTTCATGCATTCAACACATAAATAATAATTGTATATTTGGTCTTTTTAGATTTAGCACATATCAAGTCATTTTGGTCACTTTTAAATGTCTGGTCTAGCCATCCATTCCTTTTTTCCCCAGAAGAAGCATTTATTATGATTATTATTGTTGTTGTTATTATTATTATTATTACCCATACCCAGCAGAGCACGTCTCTGGAGCAACCCCTAGCTGTGTTCTAGAGATGTGATGTCCGGGATTGGAACTAGAACTAGGGTTGGCTGCATGGTCACATAAAGCTAACCCCCAAACTGTCTCTCCAGCAGAAGACCATTTATCAAATATAGTCTGACATAGTACCAAGAAGTAAAACAGAGTTTTGGGTTTTTTTTAAACTATTACTTTGTTTGTTTTGGGGTTTTTTTGGGGGGGGGTTGTTATTTGTTTTCAGGCTAAATCTGGTGGTGCTTGTAGGCTATTCCCAGCTTTGTACTTGGGAGATAGCTCCTGGCTTATTTAGTTGTTTTTTTTTTTAGGCCACAACCAGTGGTGCTCAGGCCTTACTCCGAGCTCTGTGCTCCCCTGAGAGCACAGAGTTCTGCTTCACTCCTGGAAGTGAGCAGAAAATCATATGTGGTACCGAGAATCTAACCCCAGCCAGCCATGGGCAAGGCAAGTTCCCCAACCATTATACTATCTCTCCAGTCCTAAAACAGATTTGAATGTTATGAAATCTTGCACTCTCACACTTACGAAGGGTGGTCAGTTAGGAAGGAGAGAAAGACTTGACAGAAGGATTTCATTTTAAAATATCTTGACCTTTGCTTAGTATTTTGGGCTGGAGCAATAGCACAGTGGGTAGGGCGTTTTTATTGGTTTGCTCTATTTTTATTAAAACAAATCCAATATTTTGTGGAACTCCAGATCTTAGCACAGCTCGCCATTGGAAAAATGCTAAGCGTGCTTTTGGTAGCATTATCTCCACAGTGAGGATAGATTGCTACTTTGTAAGATACAGTATCTAATATTGGAGAATATGTAGATATGTTTCTCACTGAAAAGAGATTGATATGAGTAAATCCTTATTAAGAATAAGTTGTATTCAGGTGGGAGCAATAGTACAGCGGGTAGAGCATTTGCCTTGCATGCAGCCGACCCAGGTTTGATCCCTGGCATCCCATATGGTACCCTGAGCACCGCCAGGAGTGACTCCTGAGTAGAGAGCCAGGAGTAACCCTGAACAGTGCTGTTGTGACCCAAAAAGTAAAAAAAAAAAAAAAGAAGAAGAAGAAGTTGAATTCTAGACAGTTCAGAAGGAATTTTTTCTGTTTCACTCAATATTGAGTGGTAGCAGGTTCAGCTTGAAGATTATTTTGCCCTTCAGTAACTAATAGTACTTAGCTGTCTCATGATTGCATATGCATATTTAGTGAGCTTGGCATGTTGGGTTGGAGCTATAGCACAGTGTGTAGGGCATTTGCCTTGCACGCAGCCGACCCAGGTTCGATTCCTCTGGAGAGCCTGGCAAGCTACCAAGAGTATCCTGCCCACACGGCAGAGCCTGGCAAGCTCCCTGTGTAACAACAAATCTCACAATGGAGACATTACTGGTGCCCGCTCGAGCAAATCGATGAGCAATGGGAGGACAGTGCTGTAGTGCTACAGTGGCATGTTAGAGGCTTCCCAGGACTTTCCATGGAGAGCTTTACGAAATTTCATTTATCCTTCTGGGTTAGAAACTTTCTTCATCCACTCCCACTGTGAGGTAGCCAAAAAAAAAAAAGACTGAGGATATTTTTATTCTCCAGTTGAAGAATTTTTATCAGAAATCCTGGTCTCTCTTTTGAGGAATAAATCATAGATAGGAAATCTGAGTGTGCCCTACTTTAGCTCTGTCTTCAGGTGTTTGGTTTTGCAAAGCTGTGCCAACAGGAAACTTTGCCAAACTTAACACATTATTGCACTACTTGAGCCTCTAGGGGATTTTTTTAAAAATTTTTATTAGTTAAGTACCGTGAGGTACAGTTATAGACTTACAGATTTTTGTGCTTGGGTTTCATTTATACAATGATTGAGTACCCATCCCTCCACCAGTGCTCATTCCCCACCTCCAATGCTCCCAGCATCCCTCCCACCCCCCCCCCCCACCCCACCTCCATCCCGCCCTACCTCTGTGGCAGGGCATTCTCTTTTGTTCTCTCTCTCCTTTTGGGTGCTGTGGTTTGCAAAAGAGCCATTGAGTGGCAATCATTTTTGGTCTATAGTTTACTTTCAGCATGAATCTCTCATCCTAGGAAGATCCTCCCGACACCCTTTACTTGGTGCTCCCCTCTCTATCTGAGCTTCCTTCTCCCCCAGCATGTGCGGCTGGCCTCCAAGGCATGGAATGAACCTCCTAGTACTAATCTTGGCTATTCTTGGGTGTTAGTCTCCCATTTTGTTACTTTCTATGTCACAATCTTACTATGTCTGTCCCTCTCTTTCTGACTCATTTCACTTAGCGTGATACTTTCCATGTAGTACCACTTGTATGTAAATTTCATGACTTCATCTTTTCTAACAGCTGCATAGTACTCCATTGTGTAGATGTACCAAAGTTTCTTTAACCAGTCATCTGTTCTCGGGCACTCGGGTTTTTTCCAGATTTTGGCTATTGTGAATAGTACAGCAGTGAACATAAGGATACCCATGAAATTCTTCAAAGAAATAGATCAAGCCTATGGGGGATTTAAAGGAACCTTGGGGCAAATGATTCCCAGAAGTGGGAAAGTTCCAGGCACTTAGAAGAGCTGGCAATACTTTGCTTGTTGCTCTTGCCTCCTGGTAAGGAATCATCAGCACCCTGGGTCCTCCAGGAAACCCAGAGACTAAGCGAGGAGCCCTAGTCTCTAATCCACCGCTGACCCCCACCCCCACGTCCCCTTGTGATTGCCCCGTCGTGGTGCCAGGCAGGCTTCCCTGACTTCACTCTGAATTCCGTACTCCTTTATTAGGCTCTTGGACATCAAAGTTAAATTGAAAATTAAACGTAACCCCAGAGTATGATGCTCCATGATTTCTCAGGCCCCTCTCAGCAGGTGAATCTCAGAAGCTGGACTCGCTTGACTATTTTGACAGAGTGACAAAATCTACCTACCCATTGTCAAAACTTCTAGGAATAAAGAGGCCAGAGTGATAGTACAGTGGGTAGGGCGTTTGCCCTGCATGCAGCCAACCCAAGTTCGATTCTCAGAATCCCATATGGTCCCTCAAGCACCAACAGGTGTGATCCCTGAATGCAGAGCCAGGAATAACCCCTGAGCATTGCTGGGTGTGGCCCAAAAAGCAAACAAAAACAAAAATCTAAAAAATAAATACTAAGAATAAGGAGAGTGGGAAAGGTAGTACAGCCGGTAAGGCACCTGCCTTGCACATGGTCGACCTAAGTTTAATTTCCAGTATGAAAAATGGTCTCCTGCGGAGACACTTGTGCACAGAGCCAGGAGTAAGTCTTGAGAACTTGTGTGGCTCCCAAACAAAACGAAACAAAACAAATTCTAGGAATTAAGACGCTGAGTATGGGGCCAGAGTAATAGTACAGCAGGTAGGGCACTTGCTTGGCATGTGGCTGACCCAGGTTTGATCCCAGCACCTCTTGTGATCCCCCGAGTACCAGCAGGAGCGATCCCTGAGCCAGAACCATGAGTAAGCCCTGAGCACTGCTGGGCTTGGCCCAGAGACAACCCAAAAGGGACTCTGGGTTCAAATTCCAAGTCCAGGATGACTTGCCGGGTATTACAGAGCCAGCTGACGCACTCCTACCTGACCCCAGGGCTGTTCATGTCAAGGAAAATCTGTTTCAAGTCTCGCAACACAGCATACGGGGACAGAGACCGGGACTTGATGCTTAGTGAACTCCATGTTCACCTTCAGGATGAATATTATTATTTTGACAACTTATCGTGGCTAGGAGAAAAATGCTTTTAGAAAAGGGAAGTAAGGAGAAAGGAAACCGTTCTGGGTTCTCAAGTCCTCTTTTCCTCCACCTCTGCAGAGTGTGATAAGCTCCGGCGGGATGGCTACCGGAGTTCTCAGTACTACTCACAGGGGCCCACCTTCGCAGCCAACTGCAGCCCACACGGCGAGGACTACCAGGATGAGGATGATGACACAGACCAGAAGGTAAGGCTTCCATTTCCTTTGCATCCTGGGATAGACCCCAGGGCAGAGAAAGGATTCCAGTGGAAAAACAGGCAAAATCAGAATAATGCCCTGTTGAGGGCTGGGGCAATAGCACAGCGGGTAGGGTGTTTGCCTTGCATGTGGCCAACCCGGGTTTGATTCCTGGCATCTCATATGGTGCCCTGAGCACCACCAGGGGTGATTCCTGAGTGCAGAGCCAGGAGTAACCCAGGTGTGACCCAAAAAGCAAAAAACAAAACAAAACAAACAAACAGAATAATGCCTATGAAGAGATCATCAGGAGGGGGCAGGGCATTGCTTAAGGGGTTGACCCCATGTCTTGCACGTGTGAGGCCCTTGGTTGGATCCCTTGGCAATGTGCCCCCTTCTCCCCCCATCAAGGCATAACCAGAGGTGGCCTCCACAGCAACAAAGATTGCAACCAGAAACAAACAAGATAAACATGTCTATTGAAGGGAGAGTAAAGATGTTACATGTTTAGAGCTTATTTTAGCAAAACTAGTTTGGATCAGGTAGCATCAAATCTTGCAAGCAGTAAGGGGCTCTGAGGAGCTCTACAAATGCAAGACTGGGTAAAATATCAGGCACTAGAGGTGACGTTGGGCACAGACCTGCAGGTTGGGTTTTGCAGGGTGTTCGGCTTTCGGGATGGAGGAGTGCTCAGGCAGTTGATGGAGCTGGTGCTGGTCAGGCGATTCCTCATAACTCCTTTGAGATTCTGTTTCTGAAGGAGCCATAATTAAAACTCAGTTTGGTCAGATGGGACTTAAGTGAATCAGTTTGAGCCTGTTATCTTGCTTTTTAACAAGTCGGCTTGGGTATTTTTGTTTGTTTTGGGTTCATTGATTTTGGGGTCACATCTGGTGTACTCACGGCTTACTCCTGGCCTTGTGCTCATGAATCAGTCCTGATGGGGCACTGGGGACCATATGGAGTGCTAGAGATTGAACCCAGGTCAGCTTCATGCAAGTCAAGCACCTTACCCACTCTGCTATCTCTTCAGACCCCTGTGGTAATTTCTTAGTCCCAGGGAGTTTGCTAAAACTGTTGTCATTCTACTAGGAGATCTCCAATTCAATGGTACTGAGCACATTCTCTGTCTTGTTGTTGACTTACTGTTATTGGGTTGATTACAGAGCTTTCTGCCAGACACTGAGCATTTCCTTATCTCTACCAAGTCAATAAGACTTGATAGGACAGGACAGACGACAGTACAGCATGTCAGTTATTCACCTTGCATGCAGCTGAGCTGACTTTGATCCTTGTCATCCCATAGGATTCCCCAAGCCTGCCAAGTATAGTCCCTGAGCACAGAGCCAGGAGTAAGCCCTGAGGTCCACTTGGCTAGGAGTGAGACCCCCAACAAACAATAACAACAACAAACAAAAACAAAAAACAAAAAAAAAAAAACAGGACTAAGCTCTACTGTCTGTAACAGAGGACCTGAAATTGACATGGAAGAGTTAACTTCCACTGGTCCTTGTCTCCTCTCTCTCTCTCTCTCTCTCTCTCTCTCTCTCTCTCTCTCTCTCTCTCTCTCTCTATCTATCTCTCTTTGCATTTTGGGTCACACCCGGAGATGCACAGGGGTTACTCCTGGCTTTGCACTCAGGAATTACTCCTGGCAGTGCTCAGGGGACCATATGGGAAGCTGGGAATTGAACCCTGGTCGGCCACGTGCAAGGCAAACAAACACCCTACCCGCTGTGCTATCGCTCCAGCCCCTCTTGTCCTCTCTAACACTGATGCACCCCTATGCACCCCTATGCACCCGGGTCTAACTCCTATGCACCCCTGATCCTCCTTGGAGTCCCCACTGTCTTCAGGTCATAGCAGTGGTTTCATTCATTTGTGTGCACCCACACAGTGCTTCTTCATGCCTGATTGATTGGCTGCTTGGCTGGCTCATGCCTGAAAGCCAGTCCCCGCTGCCCCTGCAGCCAGGAAGTGGTTGCCCACTCCCCACCTATCAGAAGTCTCCGTTCATCTGAATTCCAGGGATGACTCTTGATTCTGGAGCTTTTAGTGAAACAAACAGACAAAAGCCTTGCCTTGGATGGAGGTTTGACATGATGTTCATGGCAAATAGGCATTGGTGCCGTGTGAGAGAAGGTTGTGTACTTCTGGGGTGAAATGAAGCGGAATCAGGAGTCAGAGAAATAGTACAGTGGAAAAGGCAATTGCTTTCCACGCAGCTGACCCTGGTTCATATCCCAGTGTTTGGTCTCCCAAACACTGCCAGGAGTGATCCTTAAATTCAGTGCCAGGAGTAAGCCCTGAGCCAGGTGTGACTCCAAATAAACAGCAAGATAAGACAGAGGGGCAGTTCCAGGTTTGGGGGGAGCTGTTTGTTTTTGTTTGGGGGCCACACCCCAGCTGTATTCAGGGTATACTCTTGGTGGGGCTTGGGTACCATACAGGGTGCTGGGGTGAAACTGGACTGGCCTCATGCAAGGCAGGCTCCTTACTCTGCTAGCATTGCATCTGATAGGCCTGGCAGATGCAGTTCTAAAGGAAAAAATAGTGGCTTTCCTGAAGCACAGGGGTGATTGGGATGGAAAGAGTGAGCCATGCAGGAATCAGGGAGAGTATTCCAGGAAGAAGGTCCTCCTGGTGATTCTTTAAGATATTTGTTCTGGGCCAGACAAATTTGCCAAAGATGCCAAAATTAGTGAGACACCTGTAATTGCCTCAAGGAACATTCAGCTTTTAGTTTAGCAGAAGTAATCAGAATCAAAAGTTTTGTATAATTATTTCAAGTTACATAAGTGTTTCAAACCCGGGTCGGCCATGTTGGCCGCTTGCAAGGCAAACGCCCTACCCACTGTGCTATCGCTCCAGTGCCCCTCTCAGAGAGCCCGGCAAGCTACCGAGAGTATCTCGCCCACATGGCAAAGTCTGGCAAGCTACCCGTGACGTATTCGATATGCCAAACACAGTAACAACAAAATCTCCAATGGAGACGTTACTCAAGCAAATCGATGAACAATGGGAGGACAGTGACAGTGACAGTTGACAAAGTGTTTATCCTACAAATAATATTTGTAAGAGACATTCTTCTGACTTATGCTATCACTCAGGGATTGGGAAAGGGAGCCATATCTAAGAAAAATTAATTTTAGGGCAGTTGTAACAGACAAGACATACTAAGATCAAGGGAGCTACTCTGAGGGGTGGGAGGGCTAGACTGTGGCCCTGAGGCTTAAAATGTTTGCCCAGCAAAATGAGGCTGTGAGTTGAAGCTCCCAGAGCCTCTTTACATTCTTAAGGAATGTCTTTTGGGGTGTATAATTGTGCCTTTCAGGTACTGATTTCCTTATCTCAAAAGTGGAGGGAAGTAAGATTGGTCGTTAAGATCTTGAATGAACAGACTATTCATTCATTGACTTACTCAGTAAATATTTATTCAGCATCTCCAATATGCTAAGCCTTTGCTATGGGTTCTGGAAGTCCATAAACTGTATAGTGAGGGGGAAAGGACATCAATATGGGAAATCCGCAGAGGGGTGAGATAATGGTAAGGAGAGTGTAGGAGGGAAAGGCTCTGTGACGGTGTCTTAGAGCAGATCTTGGAATGAAAGGTAGGAATGACATGTGACTCTCAAGGGGAAAATGTTCCCCTGGATGGAGTCTCTGGGTAGTGCAGAGCCCAGGGTCAGAAACATGCTGGGGACTGTGGATGGGGGGATGTTAGTGGATCCCAGGAATGCGTGACCTGAGCATCACTGAGACCTAGCCCCCTAGTAATGAGCCAATGGCCTCGTTGGCCAAGTGGTTCTCAGGAGTGGCCCCAGACCTCTCAAGCACTGTCTAGGAGGACATTTGCTCCCAAACAAAAAAAGTGCAAAGGCCTGGAGACATGAAAAGTCAGTAAACTAAGCAGCAGGTAGAGCACCGGAAGTGAGGTAGTAATGACACTGGGAGAAGACCATGGGTCCGGATGCACAGGACCGCCTATGGGTCCATTGTCCCAAGGGGAGGTGTGAAAGCACGCAGTACTTCCCCAGTGGCATGACCGGTGTGAGCATCTCGAGGATTACTTACTTGCCACTCACCTCTCCTCACTGTTTCCTAATCAGTGCTCCCTCTTTGTTGCACCATGAGCTTCATTACAGAGACACTCTGGCTTTTCTTTTATCTTGAAGACTCCCGCCTTCAACCTTTCATCTTCCTCCAAAGCCTGTCCCATTTTCCACTTCCTCTTTATAATAGAACTTCCCCCAAAGAACTGTCTGGACTTGCAGCCAACACTGCCTGTCCTCGCGTTCTCCTTTGAACCCCCTCCAAACAAATGTCTGCCCCCGACACGCCCGGAAACGGCTGCTTTTGAGCCCATCCAGTCCTTCTGCGTTGCTAAGTCGAATACCTGATGCTCAGTCATCATCCACAGCCCTTTAGCAGTATTTTCATAGTTTCTTCTTCTCCTTGGAATATACATATATATATACACACACACATATATATATATATATATATTTGTTTTGGTTGTCATGAGATACACAGGGGGCTGGAGTGATAGCACAGTGGTAGGGCATTTGCCTTGCATGCGGCCAACATGGCCAACTTGAGTTCGATTCCTCTGCCCCTCTCAGAGAGCCCGGCAAGCTACCGAGAGTTTCTCGCCCACATGGCAAAGCCTGGCAAGCTACCCGTGACTTATTCGATATGCCAAACACAGTAACAACAAGTCTCACGATGGAGACATTACTGGGCCTGCTCAAGCAAATTGATGAACAATGGGAGGACCGTGACCATGACCATGAGATACACAGGCCTGGGTGTCGTCCTGTCTGGTTCATCAGCGCTCCTCATCCACTGCCGCTTCTCTTCCATCTACCAGAATTGCTGGGGATGGGGCTTGGGAAAGGGTACCAACACCACACCCGAATCCGTGTTCCTCCAGGACAGCCTTTACCACCTGGTGCAGTTCACTGAGTCCCAGGATGCTAAGTGTCCTGCACTAAAGTGTTTTCACTCTG